GGGACTCGCAGGAACCAAGGATCAGATGAGAATGGTTCTGGTAGGGAGGAGTGGATGTAGGAGCAGTGGAAAAGGATGGAACAAGAGAGGGAGAGAAAATTAGGAGAGCTTTCTGAAAAAATGGAGAAAGAGCTCTCTGTGAAATTGGAAAAGAGGTTGGTGAAGGAGACAAAGAATTGGGAGGCACAAGTCGAAACTGCAGTAGCCAAGATAAGGGTCCTAGAAGTTGAGATAAATACGCTGAAGCGAGTTACAGGGGCAGTGACCAGAGAAGACACAGCATATGAAGCTGTGAGGCCGAACAGGAAGGAAGGAATTATGAATTATGCTAAGGTCATATCAGCCTGCCAAGAAGGGCCAGGGAGTGGAAGGGAAGAACAGCTGGTTGTAGATGGAGAGGGTGATAAGTCGAATGCTGAGGCACAACCATGCTATCAAGAGCCACTGGAAAAATCAAGGGAGAAACTGACCACATACAGGCAGGATCCAGAGTCACAGAGGGTGAGGCAATAGGAGGAGGAAAGGGCAAAATCAGTGTTTATCCATGGGCTTCAGGAGAGAGAGGAAAGGACACACACTGAAAAGCAGCAGGAAGAAAGAAAGGAGATTGAGAAAATCATCACAGAAATAGGTGAAGAGATGGACGAGACTGTAAATTTTCAGAGAATAGGGGGGTACTCGAAGGGAGAAACTGACCAATCAAGCTGATTCTCAGGACGGAAACAGTGCGGAACAGAATCCTCCAAGAGAAACCACGATTGAAATACTCGGAAGAGTACAAGAGGGTGTTCCTAGACAGAGACAGAACACAATCAGAACGACAGCAGCTGAGGGAGAGGACAAAAAAGCGAAAGGAGCTAGGAAAAGAGACAAGGATGGAACCAGCAGAGGTCAGTCAGAGCAGAACAGAACAGCAAGGGCAAGCACACACACAACTATTCTCAGAACCATACAACCTATCACACCATCCCAACACACACTACAATCCATACCCACAGCCTCCACCCAACACCGAGCTATAGAATCCCACAGTATGCTACCAGGTCTCCCACCCTCACAGGCCCCCCAAACCACAGTGTTGGAAAGGAAACTGAAGGTATGGTACACAAACGCTGATGTAATAACAAATAAGTGAGAGGAGTGGCATGAAAGAGTCAAAGAGGCATCACCGGACATCATAGCTCTCACAGAAACCAAGCTTACAGGTATGATAACAGATGCCATCTTTCCAACGGGATACCAAATCCTGAGGAAAGACAGAGGGAACAGGGGGGGGGGGTGGAGGAGTGGCATTGCTGATCAAAAATCGCTGGAATTTTGATGAGCTGGAGAGAAGAGACAGCGGAGAAGAAAGTGATTACAAAGCGGGAACGCTTCACTCTGGAGGTCCCAAGGTGGTAATTGCAGTGATGTATAACCCACCACAGAACAGCAGGAGGCCAAGGCAAGAGTACGACGAGAGCAATAGAGCGATGGTTGACACACTGGCTAGAGTGGCCAGAAGAGCTCATGCATGCAGGGCAAAGCTCCTGATCATGGGTGACTTTAACCACAAGGAGATCGATTGGGAGAACTTGGACCCGCATGGGGGCCAAGATACATGGAGGGCTAAGATGATGGAGGTTGTACTGGAAAACTTCATGTACCAACACGTAAGGGACACTACAAGAGAGAGAGGAGAGGATGAACCAGCAAGGCTGGACTTAGTGTCCATCTTGAGTAGTGCAGATATCGAGGACATCACATATGAAAGACCCCATGGGGCCAGTGACCATGTGGTTTTAAGCTTCGAATGCACAGTAGAGCTATAAGTGGAGGGAGAAGCAGGAAGGCCAGGACGAATGAAGCCAAACTACAAGAAAGGGGACTACACAGGAATGAGGAACTTCCTGAACGGGGTTCAGTGGGACAGAGAACTGGCAGGGAAGCCAGTTAATGAGATGATGGAATATGTAGCAACAAAATGCAAGGAGGCTGAGGAGAGGTTTGTACCCAAGGGTAACAGGAATAATGAAAAAGCCAGGATGAGCCCATGGTTTACCCAAAGGTGCAGGGAGGCAAAAACCAAGTGCGCTAGGGAATGGAAGAAATATAGAAGGCAAAGGACCCAGGAGAATAAGGAGAGCAGTTGTAGAGCCAGAAAGGAATATGCACAGATAAGAAGGGAGGCCCAAAGACAATATGAAAATGACATAGCAGCGAAAGCCAAATCTGGCCCGAAACTGTTGTACAGCAACATCAGGAGGAAAACAACAGTCAAGGACCAGGTAATCAGGCTAAGGAAGGAAGGAGGAGAGACAACAAGAAATGACCGTGAAGTATGTGAGGAACTCAACAAGAGATTCAAAGAAGTGTTCACAGAGGAGACAGAAGGGGCTCCAGAAAGACGGAGAGGTGAGGCGCACCACCATGTGCTGGACACAGTTCACTCAACTGAGGAAGAAGTGAAGAGGCTTCTGAGTGAGCTAGATACCTCAAAGGCAATGGGGCCAGATAACATCCCCCCATGGGTATTGAGAGAGGGAGCAGAGGCGCTATGTGTACCCCTAACAACAATATTCAATACATCTATCGAAACAGGGAGATTGCCTGAGGCATGAAAGACAGCAAATGTAGTCCCAATCTTTAAAAAAGGAGACAGACATGAAGCATTAAACTACAGACCAGTGTCACTGACATGTATAGTATGCAAAATCATGGAGAAGATTATCAGGAGAAGAGTGGTGGAACACCTAGAAAGGAATGATCTCATCAACAGCAGCCAACATGGTTTCAGGGACGGGAAATCCTGTGTCACAAACCTGCTGGAGTTCTATGACATGGTGACAGCAGTAAGACAAGAGAGAGAGGGGTGGGTGGACTGCATATTCTTGGATTGCAAGAAGGCGTTTGACACAGTTCCACACAAGAGATTGGTGCAAAAACTGGAGGACCAAGCAGGGATAACAGGGAAGGCACTACAATGGATCAGGGAATACTTGTCAGGAAGACAGCAGCGAGTCATGGTAAGTGGCGAGGTGTCAGAGTGGGCACCTGTGACCAAGAAAGGATACAGACACGAGGTATTAAACTTTAGACCTGTCACTGACAGTTGAAGGTAATAGAAGTAAGTCACGAGAGAGAGGGATGAATAGATTGCACTTTCATGGACTGCAAGAAGGCCCAAGACACAGTTCCTCACAAGACGTTAATGCAAAAGCTAGAGGATCAGGCACGCATAACAGGAAAGGCACTGCAATGGATCAGAGATCATCTGATGGAGAGGGGTTCCACAGGGGTCAGTCCTAGGACCTGTGTTGTTTTTGGTATATGTGAATGACATAACGGAAGGGATAGACTCAGAAGTGTCCCTGTTTGCAGATGATGTGAAGCTAATGAGAAGAATTAAGTCGGATGAGGATCAGGCAGAACTACATAGAGACCTGGAGAGGCTACAACCATGGTCCAGCAACTGGCTCCTTAAATTTAACCCAGCCAAATGCAAAGTCATGAAGATCGGGGAAGGCCAAAGAAGAAAGCAGACAAATTATAGTCTAGGTGGCCATAGACTGCAAACTTCACTCAAGAAAAAAGATCTTGGGGTGAGTATAATAAAGAGCACATCTCCTGAGGCGCACATCAACCAGATAACTGTGCGCCTGGCAAACCTAAGACTAGTGTTCAAATACCTCAGTAAGGAAGCGTTCAAGACTATGTACACCGTCTACGTCAGGCCCATATTGGAGTATGCAGCACCAGTTTGGAATCCACCCTGGCCAAGCACGTCAGGAAAATAGAGAACGTGCAAAGGTTTGCAACAAGGCTAGTCCAAGAACTAAGGGGATTGTCCTACGGAGAAATGTTAAGAGAAATCGGCCTGACGACACTGGAGGGCCGAAGGTTTAGGTGAGACATGATAACGACATATAAAATGCTGCGAGGAATTAACAAGGTGGACAAAAACAGGATGTTTCAAATATGGGACCCCGATGAGTCAAAGGGATGTTAGGAAGTATTCCCTCAGTCATAGAGTTGTCATGAAGTGGAATAGCCTAGAATGTGACGTAGTGGAGCCAGGAACCATACATAGTTTTAAGACGAGGTTTCGTAAAGGTAATGGAGCAGGTAGGGCGATCAATGAAGAGGCGGGGCCAAGAGCAATGAATCGACCCCCAGCAACCACAAATAGCTGTGTACAAATAGATGAGCACACACACACACACACACACACACACACCACACACACACACACACACACAACACACACACACACACAAAACACACACATACACACACACACACCACACACACACACACACACACACACACCCCACACACACACACACACACACACCACACACACACAAAGTCAAGGAGAAGATTGTCAGGAGAAGAGTGGTGGAACATCTAGAAAGGAATGATCTCATCACCAGCAGCCAACATGGTTTCAGGGACGGGAAATCCTGTGTCACAAACCTACTGGAGTTCTATGACATGGTAACAGCGGTAAAACAAGAGAGAGAGGGGTGGGTGGATTGCATTTTCTTGGACTGGCATGAAGGCGTTTTGACACAGTACCACACAAGAGATTAGTGCAAAACTGGAGGACCAAGCAGGGATAACAGGGAAGGCACTGCAATGGATCAGGGAATACTTGTCAGGAAGACAACAGCGAGTATTGGTAAGTGGCGAGGTGTCAGAGTGGGCACCTGGGGACCAGCGGGGTCCCACGGGGGTCAGTCCTAGGACCAGTGCTGTTTCTGGTATTTGTGAACGACATGACGGAAGGAAATAAACTCTGAGTATCCCTGTTTGCAGATGACGTGGAAGTTGATGAGAAGAATTCATTCGATCGAAGCCCAGGCAGAACTACAAAGGGATCTGGACGGGCTGCAGACCTGGTCCAACAATTGGCTCCTGGAGTTTCAATCCCACCAAGTGCAAAGTCATGAGGATTGGGGGAAGGGCAAAAAAAGACCGCAGAGGGAGTACAGACTAGGGGCCAGAGACTACAAACACACTCAAGGAAAAAAGATCTTGGGGTGAGTATAACACCAGGCAAAATCTCCTGAAGCGCACATCAACCAAATAACTTCTGCAGCATATGGGCGCTTGGCAAACCTCAGAACAGCATTCCGACATCTTAATAAGGAATCGTTCAGGCCCCGTAAAACCGTGTACGTTAGGCCCATATTGGAGTATGCGGCACCAGTTTGGAACCCACACCTAGCCAAGCATGTAAAGAAACTAGAGAAAGTGCAAAGGTTTGCAACAAGACTAGTCCCAGAGTTAAGAGGTATGTCCTATGAGGAGAGGTTAAGGGAAATCAACCTGAGACACTGGAGGACCCGGAGAAATAGGGGGGACATGATAACGACTTACAAAATACTGAGAGGAATTGATAAAGTGGACAAAGACAGGATGTTTTCCCGAGACTGGCACAGCAACACGGAGACACAGTTGGAAGCTAAAGACACAGATGAATCACAGGGATGTTAGGAAGTATTTCGTCAGCCACAGAGTAGTCAGGAAGTGGAATAGTTTGGGAAGCGATGTAGTGGAGGCAGGATCCATACATACTTTAAGCAGAGGTACGATAAAGCTCATGGTTCAGGGAGAGTGACCTAGTAGCGACCAGTGAAGAGGCGGGGCCAGGAGCTTGGACTCGACCCCTGCAACCTCAACTAGGTGAGTACAGCTAGGTGAGGTGAGTACACACACACCCTTGAAACTGGGCAACTACCTGAGAAATGGAAGACAGCAAATGTAGTCCCCATATTTAAGAAAGGAAACAGAAATGAGGCACTAAACTACAGACCTGTGTCTCTGACATGTATTGTGTGCAAAGTCATGGAGAAGATTATCAGGAGGAGAGTGGTCGAACACCTGGAAAGGAACAAGATTATAAATGAAAACCAGCATGGATTCATGGAAGGCAAATCCTGTGTCAAACCTTCTGAAGTTTTATGGCAAGGTAACAGAAGTAAGACATGAGAGAGAGGGGTGGGTTGATTGCATTTTCCTAGACTGCAGGAAGGGCTTTGACACAGTTCCCTGCAAGAGATTAGTGCAGAAGCTGGAGGATCAGGCGCATATAACAGGGAGGGCACTGCAGTGGATCAGGGAATACCTGACGAGTCATGGTACGTGAAGAGGTATCACAGTGGGCACCTGTGACAAGCAGGGTCCCACAGGGGTCAGTTCTAGGACCAGTGCTATTTCTGATATATGCAAAACGACATGAGGGAAAGGGAAATAGATCTGATGTGCCCCTTTATTCGCAGATGATGTGAAGTTGATGGGAAAAATTTAAAATCGGATGGGATGAAGCAGGGACTGCAAAGAGACCTGGACAGGCTGGACATGTAGTCCAGAAACTGGCTTCTCGAATTCAACCCTGCCAAATACAAAGTCATGAAGATTGGGGGGGGGGGAAAGAAGACCGCAAACAGAGTATAGGCTAGGTGGACAAAGACTACAGACCTCACTCAGGGAGAAAGACCTTGGGGTGACCATAACACCGAGCACGTCACCGGAGGCACACATCAACCAAATAACTGCTGCCAGCATACGGGCGCCTGGCAAACCTAGTATAGCGTTGAACCTTAATAAGGAATCGTTCAAGACACTGTACACTGTGTATGTTAGGTCCATACTGGAGTATGCAGCACAGTTTGGAACCCACACCCGGTCAAACACGTCAAGAAGTTAGAGAAAGTGCAAAGGTTTTTCAACACGGCTAGTCCCTGAACTCAGGGGAATGTCGTGCGAGGAAAGGTTGAGGGAAATCGGGCTGACGGACACTGGAGGACAGAAGGGGCAGGGGAGACATGATAACGAATTCAAGATACTGCGGGGAATAGACAAGGTGGACAGAGATAGGATGTTTCCAGAGAGGGGACACAGGGAAAAAAAGGGTCACCAACTGGGAAATGAAGACTCAGACGAGTCATAGGGACGTTAGGAAGTATTTCTTCAGTCATAGAGTCGTCAGGAAGTGGAATAGCTTAGCATTGAAGTAGTGGAGGCAGGAACCATACATAGTTTTAAGAAGAGGTATGACAAAGCTCAGGACGCAGAGGGGGAGAGGACCTAGTAGCGATCAGTGAAGAGGCGGGGCCAGGAGCTGAGTCTCGACCCCTGCAACCACAATTAGGTGAGTACAATTAGGTGAGTACACACACACACACAGGATCATACAATGCAGGAAGAGTGACCTAGTAGCGACCAGCGAAGAGGCGGGGACAGGAGCTGTGACCCAACCCATGCAACAACAACTATTATCTCTCCCACTACCACACAATCTATTTTTGCCCAATTTTGTTTCTAATGAACTCTCCTGTCTACCCAGCTGAATGTCAGGTTAACAACTGGTCAGAATTCACGCCATGTTCAGTCACCTGCGGTAAGGGACTACGCATGAGGAGCCGCAGCTACCTCATGCACTAAAGGCACAGATGAGCAATTGCAAGAGGCAGCTGGAGGAGAAAGAGATGTGCGCTGCTTCCGTCCCCTTCTGCGAGGGTGGCAGTCCCACAAGCATCTTCGGCGGGAATGAATACGTAAGTTACTCCTAAATTTATTTGGTTGCATTGGTTCGTTTTCCTCAATAACTCAACTTTGCTCGTTTTCTTTGGATTTTCAACATTTTAGAGTAATTCTTTTATAAACTGGTCGTATACCTAAGTAATTAAGTTTACACAAATAACCCACATATTGGAAAAAGAAACTTATGATGACGTTTCGGTTTGATTTACACCATGTAGGACCGAAATATCTTGATAAGTTTCTTTATCCTATATGACGGTTATTTTTGCTTTGTTCCAGTCACGGTGTTGTACAGTCTTTGTATTCTTTAATTAAGTTTATTTAGTTACAAGTACACATAAGCACAATTGCGCAGTTTAGGCGATGGCTTATCAAGCATATTAACATATGTTTAAGTTACCTAGGATACATAAAAAGATTTATTTCCTCTAGGGTTCTTGTAATATCTTAATATTTCAGTCCTTGCCGCTTGATACAGTAGAAATCCGTAATGATTATAACCTTAAAAATCAGAACAGCTACGTAACTCAACTGTGTGAAAATCAGTTACAATAAAAGGAGATACAGTTGGACTAAAGTGAACTGAGTTATTTACATGAACATGTGCTGCTGTGTATGATAATTTATGTAACTGTATTTATGTGTACCTGTAAGATAAGATAACCCAAGATAACCCAAGAAAGTCAGTGTGGCATCGAGGGACTGGCTGTCTTATTTCCAGTGTGGTCCTTCAATCTTGTCTCCCAGGATGCGACCCACACTAGTCGACTAATACCCAGGTACCTACTTGCTTGCTAGGTGAACGGGACAGCAGGTGTAAGGAAACAGGTCCACTGTTTTCACTCTTGCCGGGGATCGAACCACGGACACTTGGCATGTGAAGCAAAAGTGTTGCCTACCAGGCCACGGGCCACCTGAATACACTTACTTAATTACTTTCTTAACATTAATTAGAGAGAATCAACTTACAATAATAGGTACGCGAATGTTAACTATACAACAAATCTAATGGTTATGTTATCATTACACTTAATGGTTATAATCATAACTATGATTTTTAAAGAAGTGGACCGGTAAGCCAGCGGAAGTCCTCGGCCAGATGACCTAAAGCTCCAGCTGTGGGTCATATGAATAAAAACCCACTTCATGAAATACTTATCCTGTTTCCTGACAAACACTATACCTATCTAAAGGTTACAATCATAGTTTTTAAATGGTAGACTAGTAATCCAGCGAAAAGCGTCGGTCAGATGACCAAAGCTTCAGCTCCGGTTCGTCATATGACAACCCACGTCAAGAAACACTTGTAGTGTTTCCTGACAAACCTTACCTAACCTAACTAACTTCAAAACACAGATGACCCTGAAATGAGTTTGCTATGACAGGCTTTGAAATGTAAAGGTGATCAGTTCATGACACTCTTTAGGTCTGGAGTTTACCTGGAGAGAGTTCCGGGGATCAGCGCCCCCGCGGCCCGGGCTGTGACCAGGCCTCCTGGTGGATCAGAGCCTGATCAACCAGGCTGTTGCTGCTGGCTGCACGCAAACCAACGTACGAGCCACAGCCCGGCTGGTTAGGAACCGACTTTAGGTGCTTGTCCAGTGCCAGCTTGAAGACTGCCAGGGGTCTGTTGGTAATCTGGAATATTGCTGCACACTAACAGCGCATTTCAAGGCAGGTGAAATTGTTGATCTAGAAAATGTACGGAGAACCTTCACAGCACACATAATGCGATAAAATATCTGAATTGAACTTCCTCGACCTGTGCTCCCTGGAATGCAGGCGGGAGAGATACATGATTATATACACTTGGGAAATCCTAGAGTAATTAGTACCAAATTTGTACACGAAAATCATTCCCTATGATAGTAAGACTCGGCAGACGATGCAACATCCCCCCCATTGGAAAGCAGGGGCGCCACTAGCACGATAAGAGACAACACAATAAGTGTCATGGGCCCAAGACTGTTCATCTGCCTCCCCGCATACATAAGGGGAATTACCAATAGACCCCTGGCTGTCTTCAAGAAGGCTTTGGACAGGCACCTAAAGTCAGTACCTGATCAGCCGGGCTGTGGTTCGTACGTCGGTTTACGTGCGGCCAACAGTAACAGCCTGGTTGATCAGGCCCTGATCCACCATAAGGCCTGGTCACAGACCTGGCCGCGGGGGCGTTGACTCTCGAAATTCTCTCCAGGAATCTCCAGGTACGATAAATTGGACACATGTGCAACACTTGTTTCTTTAATGAGGAAACGTTTCGCCACACAGTGGCTTCATCAGTCCATATAAAGGAGAATGGTGAAGAACAGGAGGAGTTTAAGGTAATCAGTCCCTCAGCCTTGAATCGCTGTAATCAGTCCATCAGTCTTGAAAAGAATACAGCATATGTGCGAAGAAGTGACTTATATACTGTAGACAAGTGAGATACAGCAGTCGTAGGTGGTATCACATTTGACAAATCCAAATGTAGAAGTAGGTCATGCTTGTCTGACAGGAATGTAGATGAATGGTTTAGAGAACCGACAAGTTGATACATTAGACATATGTGCAACACTTGGGTATCTTTAATGAGAAACGTTTCGCCACACAGTGGCTTTGCCAAATGTCATACCACCTACGACTGCTGTATCTCACTTGTCTACAGTATATAAGTCACTTCTTCGCACATATGCTGTATTCTTTTCAAGGCTGAGGGACTGATTACCTCAAACTTCTCCTGTTTTTCACCATTCCCCTTTGTATGGACTGATGAAGTCACTGTGTGGCGAAACGTTTCCTCGTTAAAGAAACACATGTGTTGCACATGTGTCCAATTTATCAACTTGTCGGAACTCTGAACCATTCATTTACATCTCCAGGTATATTCGTCTACTGCTGTATAATAAAAGGTATTTAGGCCTGACCACCTACTGTGGTGATGCAAAATTTTGTCTACTTTCCCTAGTACCATATTGGTCTTGGCTTGTAATCTGAACAAACTCTGCAACCAGATATTCTGGACACTGCTTGTGAGCAACTTTATATTCATGCTATACTGTGTTTAACAATCACCATATTCCGTTGTAATTCATCCTGGCCTATATGTTCTCTTGAACCCAGTCCAGGATAAATCTCACCATTTTGCTCTGGGTGATTTGTAGTTTCTTTCATTTTTTTTTTTTGGTTGCAGCAGAGTACCACGAAGAACAAGAATACAGGATATTGTTTAATAGTTAGACATAAGGTCCTGTTAACCTCCGGATTTTTTGCCTGGCATTCGCTTTTATTTTTTACTACATTGGTCACTATCAAGTTTCCTGACATGCTTGGGTCAAAGGGAATTCCCAGATATTTCTCTGAAGATATCGAGGTTATTGGTTCCTCATTACACTGAACATTAAGAACATTTATCTTTTCTGCTTATTTTACGTGCCAAAGAGTTTTCCCGAGGTGTAGCTATAGTTTGTTCTCTACTAACCATTTGCTGTAGGACTCTAGTTCTATTGATTGTACGTTAGTTATATCTTGTGGGTTTTCACCTGAGACCAACAGACCACTGTCGTCTGCATACAAAAGATTTACATTGTATATTATATATTATTATTATTATTATTATTATTATTATTATTATTATTATTATTATTATTATTATTATTACGTTAAACCCCAAACCTGAAAGATGAAAGAAGTAATAGTTTAAGGTTAGGTTAGGTTAGGGTAACCCTACAAGTAGTAGTAGGTGTGAAAGTAATAGTAATAGTTTAGGTTGAAGCTAGTAGTAATAACAATGTAAGAAGTAGTCTTAGTTCTGGAAGCAGTAGTTGTTGTCAGTACTCACAAGTGATAAACTCTTACTAAAGCCAGTTAAGTTACTTATATCATCTAATTTATCTCGCTTTCTCCGATTTTCCTTCTAATCCCTTCCTTCATTTCCATGTCCATCCCTCTGCCCCCTCTCTTCCATTCATTGTTCATCCCTCCTCCCCCTTCCTTTCCATGTTCACCCCTCTGTCCCCACTTCTTTTCCATGCCTTTCCCCGCCCCTTTCTTACCATATCACTCCCTGCCCCTCTTCCTTTCCATGTCCACCCCTCCTCGCCCTCCCCTTCCATCCCTCCGCCATCCACCGTTCTCACCCTCATGCTGTGGTCCCGTCAGATCCCAGACTTCGACGAGCAAGTATGCGCCACTTCGGAGTGGTCCAGCTGGACCGAGTGTTCCGAAACCTGCGGCAAGGGCCACCGCATGCGCAACAGGCGTTACCTCGACCGCATGGGCCGCAAGAAATGCGACAAGGAACTTGTTGAGAAACAGATGTGCATCGCTGACACGCCCGTGTGTGAGGGACATGATCAAGAGGTGGTGAGTGACACTGTCTCATACTACCGCTCTAGACACAAAAATAGCAGTCAAAATATCCTAGTTGGAATAATTTGCATCTAACCCATAAATGAAGTGGAAACTTTAAACAAAGTTTCGATCCTCAGTGACCTGATAATGGACCAGGACGAAATGAAACATAATCTAAGAGTTCCTCTTCAAACTGTGGGTGAATTCCTAATTTATTAATATAAATATATATATATATATATATATATATATATATATATATATATATATATATATATATATATATATATATATATATATATATATATATATATGCAGGACAAGCCACGGAAGGGGCGGTGGAAATCTTTAGCTCATGTACTTTCACACTACTCAGTGCATCATCAGGAGCTGTGCACTATTGCAAAGGAGCAACCAAGCAGAGAGAGAAGGTCTCAGAGTAGCGTAGGTGGCCACGGTTACCCTTAAACAAAGGGTAACCGTTGCCAGTGACACCTACACTACTCTGAGACCTCTCTCCCTGTTGGTTGCTCCATTACAAGATTGAACAGCTCCTGATGATGCACTGAGAAGTGTGAAAGTACTTGAGCTAAGATTTCCCCCCTTTCCCCCGTGGCTTGTCCAGCATAATTAAGATCGCCCATCTGCCATTGTTTGCAAAAATATATATATAAATATATATATATAAATTATATATATATATATTTTATATATTTTAATATATATATATATATATATATATATATATATGTATGTGTATTCACAAACACTGATCTCTGGCCGAAGGAGACTCGAACCTTGGAACAAACTACGCAGTGCTTTACCAGCCGCACCACATTGGTCCAATACCTTGGCGCCCAGCTCACGCTAGACGTTTTGATCCAAGGCAGCCAGCTTTCAGACAAAGCACTGATTTCACTGCAGTGAAATCTTAAAAAAAAAAAATTCACAGTTGATAGCCTAACTCATCCGCACATTCTTCTAAGAGCCACGGTGATATCTCGTCTGGTCTTATGTATTTTTACCTATTAGCATTTAATAACAATTTCTTTACGGTAATTACAATATCCTCTAATGGAGCTGTCTCTTTGGGACTAAAATCTCATATATGAAAAATTTCTTCTTTTATGAACACGCTGAAGATTTTTATTGAATACTTCACACAATTCCTCCTCAACCTCAGCGATTTTTACCATCGTTATTTATTCTTTGTATTGTGTCTTTAACATTTGGTTCATAACATTTAGTTCTATTTCCATTTCAAAATTTCTTGCTTCCTCTCTCCTTTCAGCTTTATTTTCATTTCCAGTCTTCTTGAATCTTTGATAAGTTTCCTAATTGGTCGACTTCCTATACTGATTACAGCTCTTTTTCTTCAGACTCTTCAAAGCCTTCCATTACACCTTCATTATTCTCTCTTGTATTCATTTATTACATATACTACAGAACACTTGTTTCATATTATTTATATCTGTCCTTTGTGATATTCTTTTCTAATGAACATATCTAAAATACTGTTTTAAATAATATTAATTCCCATTCTTATAATCTAATAGTTCCTGCTTATGTTATTTCCAGTAGAACATGATTGCTCTTTCTAAGTGGGTTTAAGTAGGTTATGTTGATATTTTTTTCAGCTCTTCAAGTAAATAAAAACTCTAATACTGACGGAGAGTCTCATTCTTGTCTCTTCATTCATATGCTGACGCATAAAAAACCTGCCATTAAATTGCGGAAATCTATTGGCCATTTATTTGCATTTCCACCCTCATAGGATCCCAGTTTCTTTCTTTATATTTAAAATATTTAAGTACAACAACTTTTTCCTTATCACGGTCACTTTTGATCAATAGATCCCTAAGGATATAATGTAGTCCTTCATTTATCCTATCCAACTCTTCTCTAATAGTTTCTCATCATTATTTTGTACTCTTATCCCTAAAATTTCAAATTATCAGTATTTTGGATTGCTTATTCCTTAACCTGGAGTCTTTTACCAATATTGTCAAAACTCTTCCTTTCTTTCTTACTCTTTCTTTCCTAATCTTTTCACCACACTGAACAGTTTCTCTGAAATACCTCACTCAAAATGTATTTTTGCCAGTTTGGTTTCAGTTAGACAAATTGTATCAGGTTTCTTTTCATTTATAATATAACTAGATTCTAATCGTTTTAGAGATTATTCCATCTATATTAGTGTATAAAGTCTTCAAAAATATATTTTTAATATTGTTTCCATCTTTCCCATTTCTTTCAGCATGGTTTTCGTCTCTCTTGTGATCGTTCCTTTGAAAAATCATTTGATGGGTTTGGATGACATTGTTAATCTATTAAAAAAAAAATTTTTTTTACAACCTCACTTCCACCTACATTCAACCTAATTTAGCAGTATTTATGGAATAATTCATTTCACGCTATTTGTATACCCTTATAACACTCACTATCTTGATGTTCTTATTTTTTTTTTAAGTTCTTTAAGTTTAATGTGAAAATGTTATTTTCAGTGGCCTATGCTGATTTTTCTTATATTTTCAATAGGCCTATATGCGACAATATGCTCTTGAAAACTGAAATTCACAATGCATATTGTCATCTCATTTATGTGTTGCTCTTCCTCTTTGCTTCTTGCTGTTAATGATTTTATTTCCTTTGCAACACAACCATAAAACTCTTTTATTCCTATCATCAGCGTCTCTCAATAACTGAGAGTTATTTGCATATCTCCTTTTTAATTTTTTGACTAACGTTGGCTCCAGCATTGAATTTTTTTAACTAATTCTGCCTGTTGTTTAATCGCTATCTTTATTCTAGTAAATGTTACAAAACTAGCTTCAGTCTTAGACTAAAATTTTTCCCAACCTTTCCTCTCTTTCTCTAAGTTCTTGTTAACAGATTCAGAAATATTCCGTGCTAGCTGTTCTAATTCTGACTTTTGCTTAGTTATTCTTGCATTACTATCTTCTAATTTAGTTTTACCTTTCTCTTCTTCATCACCTCATCTTGCTCAAGTGCTTTTCTAAGGTTGCAGTTCTCTTATTTAAATTCTTTATTAATGCTTCTTGCCTTACCTGATATTGTTCAGTTTTATTCAATCTATCCATCTAGCTACTACCTTCCTTCTCCGAAGGTATATAAGCATAGCTGTCCCTAGACCGTGTATCCTCTGCCATATTGTCTAAAAAAAGCTGTTGTGTTACTCTATTTCTCCTTTGTATATTAAATCGTTATTTATGTCCCAGAAAAATATTCAATACTAATAATTTCCTTTTATTCTGGGGACACAATTCACAAGTCTCTTTACTCCTTGAAAACGCTCTGAATCCTCCTCTCCCCAAACTGTAATCCCAGTCTCACCCTTGCCTCTTGTTACCTCAATCGTGTCATCCCCACTAATTGGAAATTTAGGTACAATATAAGAAAATGAAGGAGGAATGTTACGTGATCCATAACACGACCCCCTGAGTGTGAGGCGCACTTGTTGCCATCGCGAAGTGTCATTCTTAAAAAAAAAAATGTAACGCCTTACTCTCGATCCTATGAACTCCGACATGGTAGATGTGCGTTCGTGTGTGTAGGTGTGTGTATGTGGTGTGTGTGCGTGTATGTGTGTGTACTCACCAAGTTGAGGTTGGAGGGGTCGAGTCCGAGCTCCTGTGTGTGTGTGTGTGTGTGTGTGTGTGTGTGTGTGTGTGTACTCACCTAGTTGTACTCGCCTAGTTGAGGTTGCAGGGGTCGAGTCCAAGCTCCTGGCCCCGCCTCTTCACTGGTCGCTACTAGGTCACTCTCCTTGAACCGTGAGCTTTATCATACCTCTGCTTAAAGCTATGTATGGATCCTGCCTCCACTACATCGCTTCCCAAACTATTCCACTTCCTGACTACTCTGTGGCTGAAGAAGTACTTCTTAACATCCCTGTGATTCATCTGTGTCTTCAACTTCCAACTGTGTGTGTGTGTGTGTGTGTGTGTCTGTGTGTGCGTGTGTACTCACCTAATTGTACTCACCTAATTGTGGTTGCAGGGGTCGAGACACAGCTCCTGGCCCCGCCTCTTCACTGATCGCTACTTAGTCCTCTCTCCTCTCTGCTTCCAGAGCTTTGTCATACCTCGTCTTAAAGCTATGTATGGTTCCTGCCTCCATTACATCACTTGCTAGGCTATTCCACTTCCTGACAACTCTATGACTGAAGAAATACTTCCTAACATTCCTTTGACTCATCTGTTTCCCATCTCTGGAATATCCTATCTCTGTCCACCTTGTCTATTCCACACAGTATTTTGTATGTCGTTATCATGTCTCCCCTAACCCTCCTATCCTCCAGTGTCGTCAGGCCGATTTCCCTTAACCTTTCTTCGTAGGATATTCCCCTTAGCTCTGGAACTAACCTTGTCGCAAACCTTTGCACTTTCTCTAATTTCTTGACGTGCTTGACCCGGTGTGTGTTCCAAACTGGTGCTGCATACTCCAGTATGGGCCTGACGTACACGGTGTACAGTGTCTTGAACGATTCTTTATTTAGGTATCGTGTGTGTGTGTGTGTGTGTGTGTGTGTGTGTGTGTGTGTGTGTGTGTGTGTGTGTGTGTGTGTGTATATGTGTGTGTGTGTGTGTGTGTGTGTGTGTGTGTGTGTGTGTGTGTGTGTATATGTGTGTACTCACCTAGTTGTACTCACCTAGTTGAGGTTGCAGGGGTCGAGTACAAGCTCCTGGCCCCACCTCTTCACTGGTCGCTACTGTGTGTGTGTGTGTGTGTGTGTGTACTTACCTAATTGTACTCACCTAATTGTGGTTGCAGGGGTCGAGACTCAGCTCCTGGCCCCGCCTCTTCACTGATCGCTACTGGATCCTCTCTCTCTCTGCTTCCTGAGCTTTGTCATACCTCTTCTTAAAACTATGTATGGTTCCTGCCTCCACTACTTCACTTGCTAGGCTATTCCACTTGCTGACAACTCTATGACTGAAGAAATACTTCCTAACGTCCCTGTGACTCGTCTGAGTCTTCAGCTTCCAGTTGTGACCCCTTGTCCCTGTGTCCCCTCTCTGGAACATCCTATCTCTGTCCACCTTGTCTATTCCCCGCAGTGTCTTGTACTCTTCAGCAAATTCTAAAGTGAGAGGGGTCTCACTGGGCAGTACTCATCATTTGTTGACAAGTAAGCCTGTGTGTGAGGCAGGCTTAATATGCTTCACGAATGGCCCACACAGGTTTAGTGCTTGATAATAATAATTAATAAAAAATATAAACACTAATAATAACAACAGTCATAATAATTTGTTTCACTGTTTCCGTATGAGTTCGTGTTCGTGGTTGCCATTGAAACAGTTTATATGTTCTCTATATGCTAACACTTAGTCTTATCTCCCTGGGAGTCTGGCTGATGCTCCGTCTTGTGTTTGCATGTGTGGCGTTGTGCTGACGGTATCTCGCGTCTGGGGGACACAGATCAGGCCTGAGTGCGCCGTGACGGAGTGGACGGACTTCTCGCCATGTTCTGTGACGTGTGGCCAGGGAATAATGATGAGGACCCGCTCCTTCCTTGTACCTGCAGCCACACAGGCCCACTGTTCAGTCTCAACCATCGAGAAGAAACCCTGCACTGGCGAGAGGCTCGACTGCTCCATCGACCCCTCCGAAGCTGACG